GTCCATAGCCGATATTCGAACTTGTGTTCTAATAATGAAAATTTGAAGAATTGAAGACAAACTTTGAAGAATTGGACCTAATTTTTATCAAACTTTGAGGCTTTTACTATTATCAATGTTAAAAAACACATTTAGAATATTAGGTAGAACTTTCCTAAAATTTTCCAGATTCACAGGTCTGTTTGCCCAAATCGAAACAATTGTTGAAAATGTGCCTTTATTCTTAAGATCTAAATACTCAGGTAGTCAGATTGGTCATAACTAACAGCCTATTTTCCTTAACTTAAAGTTTAAAGTTGACACCAATAGTTTGAAACCAAATTCATTGATTTAATATGCAGTTGAGAATTTGGAGCCAGGTTCATATATTTCAATTAATGTTAGATTTATTAATCGCGGCAACCCTGCTTCCACTATCAAGACTAATCATTTCTACATTCAGGTAGAGTCTGGTAGATTTATAGGACATAAAACTAGTAGATCTATTGATAGTGCTGTGCACTGTGCTATCAGCTACCTATCTGTTATGTGACTTTTCAATGTTTAGAAGATCTGCATTCCTGAAGTGTTTTTGTATATTGAAGCCAGTTAAATGGTCAATATTTATCTCATTACCTTGCTCCATACAAACTTTACAAAGCTAATGAATAGACTTATCAATAATTGTTTACCCAACAATCCCTAAGTGGTAAACACCACATTGGCCTGTTGGCCATTATTGAAGGCAATAAGTGCCCTTTTTAGCCATCCATTATGATCCATATACTGTTATTGTTAGTAGGCTAATTGCAACATAAAAAATAACACCTCAAAAAGACAAAAAAGCTGAAAAAATAAAAAATTCGATTAATTAAATAAAATCATGAAAAAATAAAAAAAGCATTGATTTTTTTATTTAAAAAAAAATAAAAAAAATCGCCAACCCTGCATGGAAGACGAAAATCTATTGAGCATGTCTACAGATGCCTCAAATTCCTTGCAACATCCTCATCTAGTCAAAAGATTCATTCTAATCCTCAGGAGTGCTTCCATCATAGCTAATTGTAACCTATTTCTAGTTTTTGAATTCAGCCAAGTTACATATGAAAAAATTCTTTCCACATGAGCATTACTGACAGGAAGTGTCATGCATGATAAAGCATATTGAGAGAGATTTGGATACTTTATTTCATCCACAGTTTTTTAGTAATGCTACTGCTGCCCAAAACTCCAAGGCGTCCTTGGGCATTCCCTGTGGAAAGTCAGCAGACCAGTCATGATATGGAATTGACCTATATTCTTGCTCTATTTCTGAATTGAGTAGATTGCTCAATGGGAGATGTTTTAATGGAGCTCGATGCACATCATGAGGCATTACCATATTTGGACTTAAAAAGCTCAGACCATTGAAGAGTTTGATGTTATCTGGTAGTCGCACTTTAACTTGGTTGAAGAGTTCTGCTAGGCAGTCATGACATCTCTGTTTCATAGAAGCTACCTCTGATTTGACATTAGCCTGCTGGGAACTGTGATCCAAACTCTTTTTTAGTTCAATCTCAAAGTCATGTCCAAAATCCACATTGCTTAAGGCCAATGGTTGTCCCTTTTGGTCAAACAATCTGTAATGAAGTGTCCTATGGAAAGCCATTGGTTCTTTGCATTGTTTTTCTGCATCCACTTTCTCTGCTTGAAACATTTTCATTTTCTCAGCCTCTCTTATCAAAGGACTAGCAAAACTGAAGAAGAGAAAAGTGTATGGATTTTCGAGCATTCCTAGAATAATTCTGCCTTTGCTCCTTGTCTCAAAAGATCCTGAGGATTCAACTAAGGAAAAGTAGGCCTGCAGCTCAGGCCAATTATCCATAATTCTTTTCATCACTTCACCTTTGGTTAGCCATCTTGTACTTGATGATTTCATGAAAGGAGGGAGAGATCCTGTTCCTTGTTCATCTCCACCAGTGTTGAGAACTTCAGACAGATTTTGGAAATTATTTCTTTGCAGAGTGCATTTTGAAAACCAAGCCAGGATCTCAGTCACAAGGAAGCCAACATCAGCCATAAGCTTCTCACATGCATGTTTTACTGCCAATGCCAGAGAGTGACAGATGCATTTCACAAGAATACATTTTGGATTAGTCTGAAGAATTCTAGAAAATACTGAATTGTTCTTTCCAACCAAGCTGCTAGCTCCATCTGCACCAAATCCTATACAATTTTTGAATGTTTGACCAAAGGAATGAAGAACAGCTTCAATTTCCTGGAAGAGAACTTCTCCAGCCGCATCAGTCACTGTCACAGGAACTAGGGCAAGTAGATCAGTTTCTACCTGCTGACTGTGATCATTAAAATATCTGACCAAGATACAAAGGTTTTTTGAAACTGAAACATCTGTGCTCTCATCTACAATGAGGGAGAATTTCTTTCCTGATAGATTTTCTGACAACACATCTCTAAAAGAAGGAGCAATAACATTCTTCAGCAACCAAGCACACTTCAAGGTTCAAACGGTGTAGCCGAATCTTATCAAGATCACTCCCTTTCCATATTTTGTCATGAAATCTGAAATGTGGTTAACACTTCGAATAGCACAATGACAACTCATTACGACAGACAGTTCCAGCTTCATTTTTTTTTGCTTTGTCATCACTAGTTGCATGCATTTTTCTGAACAGTTTCCATGTATCACTTTTAGCAGCTGATGCTGAAGCATTTTCAAGTTCCTTATGTTTCTTGGTTTGTGCATGCTGAATAATAGCAGCTTTTTTAGGCCTTAGTAAATAATAATAAAGGGTGCAAAGGACATCTGAGCCATCAGAAGCTTTTTTAATCCATGGAAATTATTTTTCCCAAGTATTTTGATATTTTCTACCAAATTTTTTCATTTGTTTAAATAAACTCATTACTGCGCTATTAAGATTGTGCAGCCTCTGCAATACAAATCAACATTTAGCATCAGTGAACAAAATTTATTAAAAACTATATAATGAATAGAACATCAAAGAAACTTTTTTAAATAAATTTAACAAGAAGTAATTGAATGCCTTCAGTGTAAGAAAATTTGCTAAAAAGTCACTTGTCCTGATGTGTCTCATTATCACTAGCCATCACAGTTTGCAAACAAGGAAACAGGCAAAGCAGTATCCGAATGGGGGCAGAAGTTTGGTGAAATGGAGAGTCAAACCAAGCAACGCACAACCTCACTTGATGACAGCCAGTCAAAAAAGTAATATTAATGTTGAATCTATGATATATGATGACTTATGAAGATTCTGATGATTGCAGCATAAATATTTTGGGTTAAGAATTATAGTCAAATGGGGTAAGACAGGATCGCAGCCTTCATGGGGTAAGAAAGGACCAGCCCATGGCGTGCATTCTAATTGCGCTGAAATTAATTTGACAAAAGAATATGTTAGAGCAATCATTGCCTGTCATTTCAGTGTTTGTGGCAACCCTCTTCTGCAAATAATGAATTTCTGGCTAATTTTTTAAGAAAACCTATGTAAAGAAGGGTCACAAAATAGTTAACCCTGTTTGGGAAATAAGCTCTGTCTAATGACAAAAAAGTTTTTGGCCAGGTTTGTGGATGTAGGCAGATAACCTCAAGTAATAAGCAACTTTTGAAACATACTAGGCATTCCTACCTGCTACCATCACTGCCTGACATGTATTCTAAAATGGGGTAAAAAAGGACTGGACATGAGGTAAGACGGGACCACTAAATGATCCTGTTTTACCCCACAAGTGGTCCTATCTTACCCCATAAATGGTCCTGTCTTCCTCCACAAATGGTCCTCTATTACCCTAGGGACAGTTTATGAAGAATAGTTTTTAAATGAATATATTATTGTGCAGTACATAGAGTATTTTGGTCAAAAATTTTATCTATGGCTCAAACATCATTATAACTTGTTAGCTTTTTTAATTAGAGAAATTTAGTGCACTATTTTAAATTGCATCAAAGGGACATAGAAAATAGGGTTGTCTCTTCCCATTAGTGAGCTGCAGAACTATGTTCAAGATTGGCTGGAGGAAAAATCATTGTGTGAAACATGAAAAATAATTATTATCACAACTCTGTGAGAAGGCATGGGCTACATTAGAAGAAGTGCATACTGCATCACAAATGCAGTTAGCAAGAAAACACACGACGTCTGACACTTAAGTTATTATCCATTGGTTTTATTACCAATTTGATAAATTTTCAGACAATGACACTAATGGAATATACATGAAGCATTTAGCAGTGCTCTACAATAAACCAAAGCCAACCCACTATTACTATGCGTAACTAAAGTTTTTTCATGACATAAACTCCAATGTGACTGATACGTATTAGAGTTGACTTCCTGCAACACAAAACAGTAACAAGTGGTTGTTTAATCAAATAATGTGTTTCTAGATTGATAATATTGAATATCAGATTTGTACTTATATTAAAAACCTTGTAACATAAGAATTGCCAGTTGGTCCTTTCTTACCCCATGCCTGGTCCCATCTTACCCCAGTGGGGTAAGATGGGACCAGCTCACTTTTTTTTAATCTATACAGAAAATTATGTTAGATGTAAAACGTCTGAGTTGTAGCTTAGAAGCCAATTGCATATATACCGTCTGAGTTGTAGCTTAGAAGCCCATTGCATATATACCGTCTGAGTTGTAGCTTAGAAGCCCATTGCATATATACACCTTGTGATAGGTTTAGGGTTTTTAGTTATTCATGGTATAGATGCTACAGGCTTGTTAGTGATTTCGGTCCTGTCTTACCCCATCTGACTATACTTGTATATATTATATACCTGATTATGTATAGGAATATTATGTTCTTAATACCTGATCAAACAATTTTTCTCATTTTAAAGTGGCTGGCTGTTGATTCAATTTTTTGAAAACCTAAGTGCTATTTTGTACAAAAGTATAAGATCACTCAGAACTGAAACATACTGTGTAAATGAGCTGTAAGTTGAGCTTTTTTTTTCTTGAAGGTGTTTAATATCATTATTTCATTTCTTTCCAGTTAATAAATTTAGTATATACAGTACTTCATATGCAGACTGATCGCCACTACCAGGATGGGCAGTTGCAACAGGTATGTAATTAGTGATGTGAGACAATGAAATAAACTTGAAGTAAATTACATACTCCTGAAATTTGAATGTTTGGATTTAAATACACTAGATTTATTTACCATAATAATTGTATTTAATGAATTCTTCTGCCATGATTTACCTACTCTTTATACTTGAAAAAACTTGAAAATGTAGTTATTATATTTTTAATTTTTTTTCATTTTTGAACTGATATTTCAACTGGGTTCAAATTTTATCATAATGTATAGTACTATACATTAGTGTAGTGAGGTTTAAAACTGGTTTGTAGTGTAATCATAATGTATATCACTACTAATAATGCAGAGAAATACTCAATATTTTTCTTTGCAGCAAAGAAGGATGCTGCCAGCCTCCTCGCAAAATGATCACATGTGGTCTTGCAAAGGACCTCAAATCTGGTGAGGACCTCACGCCTGAGGAGCGAGGTGGGTACTCACTACGGCATCTAGGTGCATACATCTAGGCAGTGCACTTGTCTAGGTTATAGTGTGTAGCAGGAGCATTCAACCAGGTGATAGTGTGTAGCAGGAGCATTCATCCAGGTGCTAGTGTGTAGCAGGAGCATTCATCCAGGTGCTAGTGTGTAGCAGGAGCATTCATCCAGGTGCTAGTGTTGTCTCTTATACACATCTGATGTGTATAAGAGACAGGTAATGCTCATGGCTCGCTCAACCATTGTTGTAAGATAACCAGCGCCAGATAAGTTTTTATGGAACTATCAATATCATNGGAGCAATCATCCAGGTGCTAGTGTGTAGCCGGAACATTCATCCATGTGCTAGTGTGTAGCAGGAACATTCATCCAGGTGATAGTGTGTATCAGGAACATTGGTCACCTCACGTAACTCCTGCAGTGTAACTATAATTCCTGCAGTGTAACTATAACTCTTGCAGTGTAACTATAACTCTTGCAGTGTTCGTGACGCATTCCATCTCTTGCAGAAAGAAAGAAGAAGTTCGAGGCAAAGCGCAAGATACACGACCACATCATCCCTTCCTTGAAGCTCGCGAGAAAACTTCTAGTGGAAGAAGACAAGGAAGAGGAAGAAGGTGAGGAGAAGAGCAGTGAAGAGAAGGGTAAGGGCAGGGTTGGTGCTTTGGATGCTCCACTACCGCTTTGAATGATTGAGAAGTAAGTTGTTAGCGTGAGGTGTCGTCGGCTGTGTAATTGTTTACAAGTTTCAAAACTCGTTAGCATTTTATTTTTCTTATGAGCTTCTGTATTTTCATCATCTGAAGAGCTACCGTAATGTTTCTTGTATGTTCCTACTGCTGCTCACGAATGTTGCAGTGTAGGTAATTTCTAACATCACAGTCTGTGGATATCGTCCGAAAGCTCTGAACGTAGCCATGCGCCACGCTCGTGTCATGCATGACGTTCCGCGACCCGTCTTAGCGCCCGGCCGTGCATTCATCCAAATAGACGTTTTGCTACCTTAATGCATTACTCAGTCTAGGCTATTTGCAGTTTCGAAATGAATTAATTTGGCGATTTTTTTCTGATGACTCATTTGACTAAGACTTAACCAAAGCCGCATTTGCTACGGACTCGCATTTGCTACGGGCGACACAGCCGACACTTAGTCCGACGCAGCCTGGCTGTTGCGGAGTTGGCTCCATCAGCGCCACGCCCATGGGTTAGTCAGCCCACTGAGCCCAGCGATGGATGCATCGCTGAGGGAGCGCACGCTATGTTCCAGAGGGATATACTGCTGCAACACTCCATCCCCTACACTTTCTTTAACATTTTCACTGGGACATTTCTCCTGTGATTTCTTCCTTATCCGTATTTCTGCTCTGATGCTAAGCATTCTGATTTAATTAATCCAACAATATTTTAATGTTTATATTTACTTGCTTAATTTCCTAATGGGTGTCATGTATTCTACATGAATTGTAGTGTGCAGGCACTACCATTATTATTAACGATGAATGGAACATTATTAACGATGCAATTTTTGTTACTTCGCAGAGTTACTACACGAGTTGGCGTTCCGCAAGAAGGTTGAGGGCTACGAGGCTTACAGCAAGAATGAATATCAGGAAGCTGTCCAGCACTACACGCAGGCTATTGAGCTGTACGCCGACTGTACCTCATACTACAACAGGTCGGCGTGCAACATGATGATATACAGGTTTACGGATGCCCTCAACGACGCCAAGCACGCCGTCACTCTCGACAACTTCTTTGTTGAGGGTTGGATCCGCGTGGGCGAGTGTCACGTTGCACTGGGTGACGGTGAGATGGCACTAAGCGCGCTACGTCGCACCCAGGAGATCGAGCCCAGCAACTCTACAGTGCACCAGGAGATCGCCTCCGCTCAGGCGCTTCTTACCTGCATCAGGGAGAGCCAAGACGCTGCGACCAAGAGCGACTACATAACTGCGGTGTTCCACTTGGACCAAGCCCTGCGCTACGCTCTGGGCGGCCTCGTGCTGCTTATCACCAAAGCAGAGTACCTCACATTCCTGGGACGCGCCTCCGAGGCTGAAGATATCGTCAATGACATTCTGGTGTCGGACAACAACCGCGCGGACGTGCTGTACGTGCGGGGGCTGTGCCGCTACTACCAGGACAATCAGGACGCCGCCATCCATTTCTTCCAGGAGGTCTTACGGCTCGTACCTGACCACAACAAGGCAAAGGAAACTTACGAGCGGGCAAAGTTGCTGAACAAAAAGAAGGAAGTAGGTGAAGCAGCGTTTATAATGGACGACTTCGCTCGGGCTTATGACATATACTCGGAGGCCCTCGAGATTGACGTCCTCAACAAGAGCACCAACTCGAAACTTTATTACAACCGCGCCACAGTCGCTGCCAAGCTGGGCCTGTTGGAGCAAGCCATCAGCGACTGCACCGAAGCGCTAAAGTTGGACGACAGTTGCGTCAATGCTTACCTACGGCGCGCCAAGACATACCAGCAGACCGAGCAGTACGAGGAGGCCGTCAGGGACTTCGAGAAAGTCTACCGCATGCAACGCAGTCAAGAGCACAAGCAGTTGCTTTATGAGGCCAAGACGCTGCTCAGGCGGGCCAAGCTCAAATACTACTACAAGATCCTCGGCGTCAGTAAAACTGCCTCTTTCGATGAGATTAAGAAGGCTTACAAAAAACAGGCACTTCTTCATCACCCTGATCGTCACTCGAGCGCAAGCGCGGACGAGAAGGCTGAGCACGAGCGTAAGTTCAAGGAGAGAGGCGAGGCTTACGCCTTCTTAAAGAAAATGCACGACCGCGGCCAGGACGTCAACGACCCTGACTGTGGTGGCTTCAGGGACGTTGGTTTCTCAGAGGAATTTGAAGCCTCTGGCTCGGACTGTTTCACATTTGACAGTTTTGATTGCTGGCTGTAAAGGCCATTACTATTACTGTTAAGGCTAATATTACTATTAAGGCATGATCCATTTTAAAACTATATAAGAAAGTTTAGAACGGAAAAAGTAACCTAACAACGTAGCAATTTCTCATGGCTCGCAGTCCAAATAAAAACAACTAGTAACATTGCGCGATGAAACAATAATTTGCTTGATGGGAAATTTGCCGCTGCGTTAAATGAAGGGAAGCGGTCTGTAAATTTCCACTTGCTGCTGGATATTCGGACTCAATGAAAACCAACTTATGTTTTCTGGGAATATTATAATTAGAGCGAGGGAAGAGAATATGTATTCAACTTTAAAAATGATTGCAACCTTTGATATAATTGTTAGAAAGGAAGCGATCGTTCGTTACGAGGCGATCCTTACATACGAGACGAGCGCGAGTTTTATGTCTTGGGAAGAGCCCTAAGATTTGCATTAAACGTCGTGATTGTTAACGACCGTGCAGGGCGTGGGACGTCGTGATTGTTAACGACCGTGCAGGGCGTGGGACGTCGTGATTGTTAACGACCGTGCAGGGCGTGGGACGTCGTGATTGCTGTTTATTTTTGTGTCTTTTGTGTATTTCATTTCTCATGTATTATTTCTATGTAGGCTTTTAAATGGCACATGAAGATGGCATTGAACTATGTGATTATCTGAAAAATATGTATAACAACATGAGTAATATCATTGAACATGTGAATGAGAGGATGATCACCTGATTAATGATAAGCATGATTATCTGATTTATGGTGTAGATAAACGGAATTAAGGTGTAGATCATCTGAAGGACCAGAATAATCACTCGCAGGAGTTACGGAGGTCACTGTTTTTGTATCGCCTGTGTCCTTCACTTCGCTTCCTGTGAAGTGTGACTGCTTTTCTTAAGTGTACCAATAAGTACAACTTTTTTATTAAACTAGAAAGCTTATGTCGTGTTGTTATTTTATATTTATGTAGTTTTTATATCTTAGTTGGATGCGTGATTAGTGACGTGTTGGAGACGTGTAGTTCCAAAGTAACGTAAATGCAATCCATCGTGGCCTGGGACTGCAACGTCCGAAACAAAGACCAAGTGGACCAAGGATAAATACGTTGCCTTAAATGCAGTAAAGACATTACGTAGTAAATGGTAACGTAGATTTGTTACGTGCAGACAATTTATGTGCCGCATGGGAGTGAGGGAAATACGTGTTCCCTCATTTTGGGGACCTGCACACTCCCCCGGTCCCACAGTGCCTCTGTTGATTAGTTGGTTACTGTAACCTGTCCCTCCTTTGTTTCTGTTGCTGTTCACCTGTCCTTTCTTTGTTTCTGTTTATATTCACTTATCCCTTCTTTGTTTCTGTTTCTATTCTCTTATCCCTTCTTTGTTTCTGTTTCTATTCTCTTATCCCTTCTTTGTTTCTGTTTATATTCTCTTATCCCTTCTCTGTTTCTGTTTCTATTCTCTTATCCCTTCTTTGTTTCTGTTTCTATTCACTTATCCTTCTTTCGTTTCGTCAAGGTCTGTTCTTCTTACATGCAGCATATTTGCTTGCGTTTAATTTTAGCAATTTATTTAGATGAATTTTCAGCCGTGAATTGTGAGTGAGTAATAATTCAGTTAAGGGAATTGGCAGTCAAATATAACCTAGTAAACGTATCGAACGAATTACATTACCCGAATTTAACGGTTTTTGAATGATTACAGTTGAAATGAGTAAACGAAACCTGCATAGCAAAATCAGTAATTGGTGTTACCTATGTATTGCCTGAGTATTATCGTTAGAAATAAGTTCATTTTGAGTGATGCTTTAGAAATAAACTGCTAAGTAATATAAGCGGCCGAAGGTTTTTGAGAATATTCTCTATGCTAGAACGTTTTCCTGAATGGTTCATGATTCTTTAACATTGATTCTTTATCCAGTTAACAGATTTAATTCATATGTTCATATTCATCGAGTGAGTAATATTGAATTATGACGAATATTATCAAGTTGAATCTAATGGTGACTCATTGAGTTAAATTGACAGATTTTATCCTTTGCTGGAATTTTAGGCGAGTAACTTCCAGATAAATATTCTCTCTCGCGATGAATGTTTGTTATCGATGACCTGTTCAGGCTGGGGATCTCTGAGAGCCTTGATGCGTTGACTTACAGACGGCATCACCGACGGGCGTACAGACGAGTCTACAGACGGGTGTGCTGACGAGTTTACAGAAGGGTGTGGTGACGGGTTTACAGAAGGGTGTGGTGACGGGTTTACAGACGGGTGTGGTGACGGGTTTACAGACGGGTGTGGTGACGGGTTTACAGA